AGGCATTGTGTGGGTCCTTTGCACAGGGAGTAATTTCACCCATAGTGAGCATTGTTTGAATAATTTGCTATTGAGAAAATATGAATACAGGCATTAGAATTGAATTCTAGTAAATTCATTGGACTACACTGAAAAAATGCAGCCATTTTCTTGCTACATTCATCAATATAATTATAGTTTACTTGAGGCAACAATGATAAAGGATAGAGGGGAAGGGATGTACATTTTGCTACATGAGAAGCTAAAATATTCATGTTTCTGTTCAAATTTGGATACAAACATCTATTTTTGTTAATACGCTGCAACTAATATCTATTTCATAGGGGATAAACAATAGCAAAAATATACAGCATCCTATTTATTTACAATATATATACATAAAAATCAAACATTTCATACAATACCACATAACTGCATAGATTCTTCTTTAGAAACAAACATGTGCACAGTATGTGAATGTTCAGACCATTTCAGCCCTGTACTTATTAATTTGCTACCATTTTCACAGTTTGTAACAGAAAGCCTTCCATTTTGATACAAATAAAACATTCTTTGTATATATTATAGAGAAAAGGTTTTCCTGATGCAAAGTGCTCTTGGGAACTTTTGTGTGAGCTTTTTGGTAGCAGGAAAGAAGAGCCATTTATTGGTATTGTTGATGGAATAGAATACATACTGTTGTGGGTTGGTCCTAAGGATACCAGTGATAGGATTGTGGAACTAGATTGGGGTCATTCAAAATCAGAAGGCTTTTTGCCAAGATGCTCTTTAGTCTTAATATAAGATTAAAGCAATTAGTCTTTGCTGATTTAGGATGGGCTATAGATACCATTATATATAATTAATTATTCGTACAGCACCATAAATACGTATGGTGCTTTGTGTTGTGAGGCGGACGTACAGACGAAACTCATGCTGTCCCCAAACATGTTTTCAAAGTTTCATTTAGATGTGTGACCGGTCAGAATAGAACACACACGTATCATTATTAAGCTGAGAAAATCAACCTTCTGGAGTGGATGGATATCCTGAAGGGTCGGAATTACGCTTCTGCAAGGGGCCAGTACAAGGGCTGTGCACCACTGAGATACCACTTGCATCCTCAAATTAGGGCTTATGTGGCACATAGGTCTTGTGCAGGCCCATCTGTACACTTCATCCCAAAACAGTGTTACTTCCAAGATTCTAGGTCCAAAATTGTAATGTATTTTATTTATTTATGTTTATAAACGGGCAGGGGGAGAGAAGAGAGATAGCTTCTTCATTTCTCTCCACAGATCACTGTAAATGAAATGCTAGTCAAGATCAAAAGCCAAAAGCAAAGGATTTTATGGGCCAGATCTTCAGCTGGTGTTAGTCAACATAACACTAGCTCATAATCTACTCCTAAAACCTTATTAGGAACTCCTGCTTGGAACTACTCCCTCCTTCTCCCACCACTTTCCAATAACTATAACAGAATAGTTTACCTAGTTTCACGTTCAGTCTATGAATTTGCAGTGTCCACAATAGTGACAAGCTCTCTAGAAAAGGAAAGCATGCTGCCACCTACTAAGTAGATACAGTACTCTGGATCCTACTAATTTAACAGAGGAACTCCTATAGCATTTTACAGTGCTCTTAAAAGCCTAGCTAAAATGTGGGACTCCTACTTTTGTTAGCTACAAGTTCACTATTCCAAATAAACTGAATAATAGCAGTACATTTTACAGATAACCTCATACAGTGATTCTGACAGTTACAGCAGGGTCTATTGCATTCTGTTAAGAATGTATAAACCTGATGAGAAAATAAAAAAGCATATTATTTCACAGTCTGTACCACAGACATCAACATACATATTATTCCTTTGCATAAATAGCTATATATACGAGTCCAATAAATCAGTCTGAGTGAAATCCTCACACCCCCACCCTGTGTACAGGGCCAGCACACAGCCTGTTTAAGGACTGAGCCCATCTTACACCTTTTCAGGACAGAAATGATGATGGTCCTATGCCTAGGGGAAATTGCACTCAGTGCATAAATCCTGCTAATTCATTTTATTTTATCCAGTCAGACTGCAGTATGCAAATTGAAGAAGGGGACAAAGTGGGTGAGGAAGAAGTAATATATCAATGGGAGTTGGGCATCTAACTCATTTGTGCCTTTGAAAGTCCCCCTCAATATCTCCTCTGTCACAGTCTCATCAACTCCGTAATCTCTACTGTCAGTAGTAGAAGAGGGAAGGAAAAGGGAATGGGAAGGAGGAGGATAACCCCAGAGTACTTGTGGGATAAAACAGTCACCTATGAAATTTTCACAGGTTAAATGTTAGTCTTTTAGGGTTTGTCTACACTATAAACCTAAGTCGACGTATATTAGGTTGACTTACATCTACCACAGTAATTAATGTGGTGGTGCATGTCCACACTACCCTCTTTGGGTTGGTGGTGCACGTCCTCACCAGGAGCATTTCCGCTGACCTAATAGGGGCAGTGTGGGGAGCTGAGAGCCTGGTCCCTGAGCTCCGCTGGCAGCTCCCTGCCTGGAGTCCAGCTGCCCCACAGGCTCCTAGCGGGCTATCCCCCTTTGCTCCCCAGTCCTCGCTCATGGAACAAAGCTGTTTGAGGCTTTTCACCCCCCACATTCACCACAGGGAGCCGGGGGAAGCCGCCCGGGACTTCTCACCATTGGGGAGCAGGGTCCAGCTGCCTCGGCTTTTTGCCCCTCCCCACACTGGAAGCTGGCACGGGGGCCGCTTGGGCTTCTCACCCTGACTCCAGCTGGGAGCAGGATCCAGCTGCCCAGTCTCCAGGACAGCAGGGCTCCTGTTGTGCAATTGACAAGAAAGCTGATGTAAGAGACGCAGTGTCTACACAGACACTGCACTGCACTAACTACACTGACATAAGCCTTATCCCTCTCGGGGAGGTGGAGTTATTATGTCGGCGTAGTAGGACACTTACATTGGCGGGACAAGGCTGTAGTATGTACACTGACATAATTAGGTCGACATAAGCTGCCTTATTTTGACCTAACTGTGTAGCATAGACAGCCCATAGAGCTAGAACCTTACAGGTCCTGAGCACCTGCTGCAAATTGCTAAGTGACCTCAACTGCCAGTGACTTTAAGCGATGTAAGGACAAGGCAATAGGAGTGAAGGCAATTCAGCAGCTCACAGGAAATTCAATATCTTGAAGTATTAGGTCTGTAAAAAGAAAAAATTGTAGTGACACATAATATCCATAGATACGATTGCTAATCCTAGTCTCTTTTTCCTTAGTTATAGTGTGAGTATAAAATGAATCAGCCACTGAAAATGAGAGAGTCATCACAAATTGACAGGCACACCTGAACTTATGAAGGGCATCATTCAACCCTGAATGTGCACCTGGACTCCTGTTAGCCATTAGTTCCATTGCTAGTGTAACCCTTCTGCCAGGTGGAGCCAGCAGCAACAAGGGCTGGGTTCAGTATCTAGTGGTTCCTTTTCAACAACACAACACAAAACCGGCTCGAGCCCCCACCCAGTGCCCTGGGACAATTACACACAACCCCCCTGGACGCCTCTAAGAGGCAACACTTCCCCTCTCGCAAGCACAGAGTCTGAGTGTAGCAGAAACTTTAAATAAAAGGAGGGAAGTAATTCAGCATTAATTTGGGAAAACACTGCAACTAGGGTTCATAAACACAAACCATGAGCAAAAGACCCACCCCCAAGTAAGTTGGGCAGTGTCCTTTTCGCCTCAGATTCTTAAATCCAGCAACCCAAGTCCCTTCAACGTGCCCGTCCCTTCTCTGTACCCCACTCACAGTTGCTGTCCTTGGCCAGTGCAGCCCCAGAGTTCAGAGGTTCATCTGCAGAGTTCACCTCCCATGCTTTGTGGAAGCGCGGGGGTGTGGTGTAAGGAGGCACCTTACACGCTCCACTGCTCAGTCACTCGCTTGTTGCTTGCCGCACCTCTCTGCGGGGCTCTGCTCTGGCCCTCTCCACCAGCCTCTCTGCTGGCCGCGCCTCTCTGCCAGCCACCCTGCTGGCCACTTGCTGCACATCTCCACCAGCCACCTTGCTGGCCACTTGCCAAGATGTCTCTCAGTGATGTCAACTGTTAGTGGGGAAGGCTCACTGCTGGTGCACACTGGCCAGTCTCTTGCAATAGAGACACTGTCCCAAAGTAGGTCTAATACTTAGACCTGGGTATCAGTGATTTCAGCTCTGCAGCATGTAACAAGACTCTCAATTGAATTTAAATTAACTCTTTTATTATACCATGGAGAGAGGAAGGGTCAAACAATGTCTAGGACCCTTAAACAAGGCCCACCATCTCTCAACTCATTAGACTTTGGAACCGATGTCCCCTGCCTAGCAAGTGCCATTCAGTTGAGGGTGAGTCCCTCCATTGGGGTATGCCAGGTACAGTTCTGCTGCCCTCGGTTCACACAACAAGGATAACAACCCTTTATTACTCTTGCCCCAATAACAAGGAGACTGGGGATCCAACACCAACCACAAGTGATCATTTGGGCAAGCAATCCCATCATGCTGAACACCTAGGCAGGGTGGGTGTGTCCAGGCAAATGAGATCAGCTTCTGAAGTCTTTTTCCACAGCTCACTATTAGATGTCAGGGGAGAGTTCATTCAGACTCTGCTTACACTAGGACAGGGATCGGCAACCTTTGGCACACGGCCCACCAGGGTAAGCCCAATGGCAGGCCGCACCCATTTGTTTACCTGATGCATACGCGGGTTTGGCCAATCGCAGCTCCCACTGGCTGCGATTTGCCGCTCCAGGCCAATGGGGGCTGTGGGAAGCGACGCGGGCTGAGGGATGTGCTGGCTGCCGCTTCCTGCAGCCCCCCATTGGCCTGGAGTGGCGAACCGCAGCCAGTGGGAGCTGCGATCGGCCGAACATGCGGATGCAGCAGGTAAACAAATTGGCCTGGCCTGCCAGGGGGCTTACCCTGGCAGGCAGTGTGCCAAAGGTTGCCGATCCCTGCACTAGCAACCTAGCACGCATGTTTGACAGCAGAATTCAGACTCTCTCTCTAATTCACACATCAAGAACAATACAACATGAACAAATATGTGTCCCTGGCAGTACATTATTACTAAAAATGATTCGGTATGTGATGATAAAGATCATCTGCTTAGTACCCGAATCTCTAACCTGAGCCATTCTCCAAACTGACAATATGCCACAACATAAATGCAAAGTTAGAGTGGCTCTGCAAATAATTTATAGCGCTATTTTTGTTTGATCCCGAAGAAACAGAAATAGGCTTTTTAAATATAAAAAAGTGTTCTATTTAAAGAGATATTAAAAAAATAAAAATCTGGCTTGATTCCAATTAAGAATCCAGTTTTGCATAAGGGCCTGATCCTGTTCCCACTGGAGTCAAAACACACACTGACTTCAATCGGAGGAGGGCTGACCCTAAAAGAATAAGTTAACTTCTTTACAAGGTCAGCTTTAGGTATATGCAAAACTATCCTAAAGGAAAAGGCATTAAGTATGACTAAAGGTGGTGGTTTTTGATATAACTGGAATTTTTCATTTTTTCTTGAAAAGTGTAGATGTATTTAGTAAATATTGGTTTATATGGAAGAAAATGCATATTTCTGAATCTTTCCTTTCACACAGAAATCAGCTCTGCCTTCTCCTGGTTGGTTTCAAATGTTCAGTGCTCTATACCAAGTCTGTTTCTGGTCAGTTTCAAAAGGGTTTTATATTCCTCTTGGTCTAAGATCACTCATGGTTGAGTATGTGTCTCTGCACAGTGATTTGATGTGCTATCAGCTCAACCATTTGGGCTGGCCGCTCCAATGACCTTTTTTTTTTTTTTTTAAAAGAGCAGCACCAAGTGTAGGACATACTGTTATCTAACACCAGCTGATGCTTTCATGGTGCCCTTCATATAAACACTCCAGAATGCTACACTTACTAAATGAGGGGAAGTGGTTTACAAAATAGTAATGAAAAGCCAGATCAAATGTATGCAATTTAAGAGTAGAGTTTTGGTTAAAAAAGAGATGGTGAGAGCTGAACATCATTTGTGAAAACTATTCTAGAATCTGGATTTGTAAAACAAAACAAAAACAAATACATTGCTTGCTCCAAAGGACTAAATATTATGGTTTGGAAGTTTTAAGACTAGTACTAGAACAATCTAATTCATGGCCAGAAGAGTAAAAATTAATTATGATTGGAACCAAGTGGCAAAGCCATATAAACCCTCGCAGACAATCAACACAACCTTAACATTGATTTGATAACTCACTGGAATTGGAGAAACTGATATTGCTGTTGGGGAAATGGGCATTTTCTGCAAGCAAATACATCTATATCAGTATTTCATTATTTGGATTTGATTTGAGTAAACTCATAATGGATGGGATAGATAAAACAGAATGGTGGTGATTCTGGTGAGTAGCAAACAGGGATGTATCTTTTTCAGCATGATGTTGACTTCAGTTGCCTTCAGCATTGTCTCCTGAGTGCACCCAGTCATAGATGACCAAAGGAATGCTCACTAGGGAAAACAATATTCCCAATGCCATGAAAAGAGAAGCCTGAAAGAAAAAAGGAAAGGAGTCTTTCAACTAAGGTAACTTTTTTCCTTAGAGAGACTTACAATTTGATACTGGGTTTCAAAATTACAAATGAAAACAAAGCTCTGAATTCCTTGTTAAGCACTGAGAATGAAAATTTCCTCTATCTTCAGTTAACAAACTTTGCCTTAAGTGCTCATTTCAGTGACTCTATCTGAAAAGGGCTGAATGGGTTCTCCTTTGGTACCCCTTGGCTCTGCTCTTCAACTAGCCAAAGGGCTCATTGCAGAATGAAGTAAAGCACATGCACTGGGCCATCCCATGAGGGTTTACTTGCACAGCATTTCAGCCATTGTCGTCTGGTGGAGCTAATGAATTAACCTAAGATTCTTGCATGCCAGTGCAGAGAAATAACTATGGAATCACGAGCCTGGCCCAAATGAAGTTCTTGATTATGGAGTAATCAAATAAAATTAATCCAAATCACTACTGTAATATGAATAAAAAACAAAGACATGATAACAGAAGGGCTGGTTCTGGTGGTGCACTGAGTGCACTCAGCAAATCACAGCGACTATTCAGAATCTTACATGACTCTATTCACAGCTGGGAAATTAGCAGGATCTTTGACCTTTACCAAGGAAGTTTTTTATTCTAATCTCAGTATGGGAAGGATTGTGACATCTTCTGGACTGCAAATCTCCCTTGACATCCAGTAAAAACTTGTAAGACCCTGCTGAGATCAAGTTGTCACAGTCCTGTATGCTCACAAACGGTGAAGAGTTGGCTCCTTTTGCAGGGGGCGCCCAAAATTTGACTGTGATCCCTTAAAACAATGTGAAGTGCTGCAAACATGACACACTGCAGGCTCTTTCAGGTAATGTGTTGCAGTGGAAAATAAGTTGTGGCTATGGAGGCAGTTCCTCTGCTGCCAAACTTCAAAGGACTCAGAACCTTGCTAGGGATTACTATTGTTTAAACTATGGTACTTCCGGATGGCCCCTAATTAGATTTGAGGCCCCAATCAGATCAAGGCCTCAGTGTGCTAGGTGCTGTACAAACACATAAGAAGGTAAGGGTCCCTGCCCCAAAGGTCTTACAATCTAATTTAAGACAAAACACTGCACAGGAGTGTGACAGAGGGAGGGAGGACAAGGGTAACAGCAATAGGTTCACATATGTTCAGACAACAGATTAGATCTGTTCTCAACCGAATACATTTTAATGAGTAACAGGCAAAGCACTAAATTGATCTACAGAAAAACATACCCAAATCCTCTGAGTAAATTTTTCCGTATCCCGATGTGTGATTTTTAAATACAGCGATGAAGGAATAATGAAAATCAACATATTGGCAGAAGTTACTCCTGTAACATTCAAATAAATATGTTAGTTATTGTGGAATTTCACATCTGCCAACAACAGCTATTTATTATTAATATAAAACCAGAATACTGTACCTACAACTCCAAAAATATCCTTCATTGAGGGGATAAAAATTACTAACAGGTTGATGAAAATCAGGAGGACAATAGTAACCACAATATGATGGCATAAGTCATATTTTGTTTTTTTAGCCAGCTCAAATAAAGAAGAACGCACCTGTAGGAAAATGAAGAGTTCTCTGTTAGGAGGAGCATACAACTTTCAAGCCCATATACTAATTTTTATTGATTCTGTGCATGACAATGAGATTTTCATAGATGCCCCAGTGATTCTGGAGGTCTCAAATGTACTGCTTTTGGAATAAGCCTTACATTTAATTCAAAATCTGAGAACTGGATTTCTATGTGTCTGTACGAGTGTATTTTCCCCCAGATTATATTTCTTGACAGAGGTGGGGGAGTATGTTAACATGTACTTTTTAGTTCAAAATTAACTGCTGTTCTGCTAGGGTGAAAGCTCACGTAATCGGCTTTGTGTGTGGAATTAAACAGCAATGGGAAGGAATGGAATTCACCTACATCCAACTCTGCAACATAGCCACTCTGTAGCTGCCATTCCAGCCTACACAGTAGGTTGGAATAATGTCACCCATGTGGGTGGGGAGGTATTGAATCCACTGGATCTGCATAATTGAGGATTCAGTGACTCCTTCCCCAGCCTGCCCATAATGCCGCTTTCTGTGTTAGACTCTTCAAATGTTGTACAGAGCTCCTTGATCCCTGCAACACACAGGGGAAGTGGAGGCTGCCCTCATGGTCAGTCCATCCCACCCTCTCATGAAGAGCCCTACTACAACAGGGTTACTGAAAGGGATTTCTGTGGTTCCTCTGTTCTTGGATGAATTTCATCCTTGATTCTGCCCCTATTGAGATCAATAGGGTAGGATAAAGCCCTTATGTATTTTCATTTTAAATCGACTTAACACCTTCCAGTTCCAAGAGAGATTAATTTTTTTTAATTGTATGATAGTTTCTTATTCTCCTATCCAGAACTCCCAATGAAGCCAATGGGAGTTTAATATGTGGAAAGACTGACTGCAGGATCAAGTACTCTCTGTAGTCTGTCATTGATTCAGAAACCAGACCACACACACAAACCAGCCTTGCTTTGGGAGAGTGCACCTACTACAGATCTTAGCTGTTTCTAAATTGCAAGGAGCCTTATACTTACAGTGAAAAACAGCACTGGCACTGTGAGTATGACTGCAAAAATGACAGCCACACGCACTGTCAGGATGAGGATGTCATCTCTACTCTGGTAGTTGTGAAGCAGATCTGAGTGCACATTGTCTGCAGGGAAGACAATAACGTAAGTGTTCCAGCAAATAACCAATTAATTTACAGAAACCGTCACTTAACAATGGCCTTCTTGAACAATAAGTGATGTATCAGCAAACAAAAGGGCAGGGAATGAAACATTCTTGAGTTAAAATATGTTTTAAACCATACTCTAGTGATTCCATGTTTCAAGATTATCTCTTTGGGGCCCTGTTTCAGGAAAGCATCCCTAGTCAAGAAAGCACAAGGTTAACTCTAAGCTAAAGTCCATTGCAGGAAGACTACAGGGAGGCATAGCATAGCTACTGGGGATTTTTTGGCAGCTTAAACTTATATAAAAATAACCACATGCACGGTCCCTGCTGAATTTATACTAAATTATTAGGTTGCACTAAATAAGTCCAAATAGCAAATAAAGTGCTAGGAGAAAACAGAACATCTTCTCTTGAAGAACAAACCCCTTTTTAGGTCAGCCCTTTCCCCATGAGGTTTCTCTGACCACACAAACTGCTATCCAGCTACTTCTGGTGGCTACCCCCACACCTCCATTTTCCCCCTTGAACCTACCCTCCTCCCTCAGCAACACTCACAGCCCCTGCACCTCAATGACCACCTCCTGGAGGAAGTGATCCATTCTAAATGCTGCTGATATGGGTCACTGGGAGCACCATGTGCTGGTGTACTGACAATATTTTAACAAGGCCTCCCACAAAAGCATCTCCCTTAACCAGTGAGAAATGCTGTGGACCAGGTGTACACATGCTGGCAGACAGGAAGAACATAGAATTCATTTGTTTGTTTCCGCACCTTTAAAAAAACTCTCATAACTGTAACAAAGGAAGCAAATGCACTGAGCACAAAAAAAAGTATATTAATCTGCCCTTTTCTGGAAGTGTTCAGGCTTTGTTTCTGAAAGGTGTCCTGAGAAAACTGATAGCACAGAACAGTGGTCAGCCTGTGTAATCTGATGGGGGGAGGCAGGAGGGCTTGCAGGGGGCTCATTGGGGATATATAGTTTTAAAATACCTGCCATTTGGTGCAATCTGGTCTATTCCTGAAGGCAAAAATATTACTCGTCAGAAAGATTTGACCCTAAAGGATAAACCCTCTCTGACAAGAATCACTTATCAATATACAGAAAAAGCCTGAAATCATCCCAAACTTCCCTTCAGTTTGCGGGTGCAATTTTAAAAGGGTGCTGGCATAGCCCCTTCTCGTACCTGGCTTATACCACATGAGGCGCATTCTGCCATTACAAGCCCAAGTTGCTGCCTCTGTACCGCTGGTCTCCCACTCAGCATGACAGCAAAATATCATACAGCCCAAGCAAGTGACCTTTATCAATACCTAATTTTTTGTAACTGTACTCCTGTAATGTACATATGGCAATAACTGCGACACCCTGAGCAAATAAACAAGTGGCGTTGGTTTAAAAAAAGAGAAGGCCAAAATAAAAATGCTATTCTGGTCTATGAAAGGATGAGGGAAAGGGCTACAGAAAAAAAAGTGCATTTAAAAAAGGCATGTTCCTGTCAGTCTCAAACGATGATCCATGGGAAAGGAGAAAAGTAATGCTGCCCTTCCACGCCCCAATTCTGCAACTGATAGGGTGCAGGCGAACATCGGGGTGGGGGGCTCTCGCAGATGCAGCATTATCCACACACTATTAATATTCAGGCACATGGTAAAATAGGAAAGAATTGGGTTTCCTTTCCTCACAGATTAAAGTAATCTGCAGGGTTAGATTTGCCTCCTGTGTGCACTTTGCCTCCTCTGTGGACTTGTCTCCAGGCTTCCTGCTCCAGGTCGCCCCCAGGACTTGGTCCCAGCACCATAGGCACCGATTTCTGCTCCCAATGGTGGGTGCTCGACCCCCTTCTGCCCTCTGCCCCGCCCCGATTCCACCCCTGCCCCGCACCCATTCCAACCCCTTCCCCAAAGTCCCTGCCCCAACTCTGCCTCCTCCCTGCCCCTATTCCAACTCCTTCCCCAAATCCCAGCCCCGGCCCTACCTCTTCCCCACCTCCTCCTGTGAGCGCGCCATGTTCCCGCTCCTCCCCCCTCCCTCCTGGAGCTTGCTACACCGCCAAACAGCTGTTTTGTGGCGGCAAGTGCTGGGAGGTAGGCGGAGGAGCTGGGACACGGCTGGCTGCCTGCTGGTGGGTGCAGAGCACCCACTAATTTTTCCCCGTGGGTGCTGTGGTGTCTGTTCTGTGGTGTCTGTGAGTTTCAGCGCATTAGTCTGGTCTTAAGAGGCTCAGATCCTTCAGTTGAGCCCCAGATAGTCCAACCCTTCCAGGGTTTGTCAATAAACCCAAATGAAGTAACTGCAAATGAAACATCCCACTTGTGGGGTCAGAGTCCTCTTCCCTCTTCATCTTCTGTAAAGCAGCGGGCCCCAAATAGGCTCACAGGCTAGCATCAAAGATTAGTCCCATCATAAGTGGATCCACAACAAGTCCTCCCTTCCTTTGAGGAGGCAGTAATCAGCTAAGGAGTTCTAGCCTTTAGCCAGAACTTGGTCCAGTAGCCAAAGACTGGAGATTTGCTCTCCTGATATGTCTGCCCCCCAACTCAGCTGGGTTTTTCTCTTTTAAGCTCCTCCCTCCAATTCTGATATCTCCTACAGGTGTAGCAAGGCACAGCCAGCTGAGTCCACAGTAGCTCATTAACCCTGTACAATTTGTAATACTGGGGCCGGCAGGTCTAGCCCTGCCCATAACTAAAAGGCCCACCCCCCTCAAGTAAGCAGAGTAAGCACTAAGTCCAGGCCACAATTGATTTCTGGGGACAACAAATGAGAAAAAAAAAAAAAAAAGAAACAGGAGCAGGAGTGAGGTCAAAGGTTGGAAATCAGGGATCTGGAGCACGACACTGAGCAGAGAACCCCAGATAGCACCGACTACTCCTCAAAAGTGTCTAGAGAGTCAGTGGACGCTGCTCAGAGGAACTCTGCCTGGAGGTCTGATCATACGAGGGATTAGAAATAGACCCCCCCAGTTACAGAGCACGGTTCTGTCCAGCTTCTTCCTCCTAGTATAATGGATGGAAATTTTGGGCCAGCACCAGGAGGAGATTAAGGAGGCCTCACGACTTTCTGGGGCCACAGATGAGGTGTGCCACAACCAGGAAATGTGAGGAAAAGTGCAGCCAGATCTCAGTAAGAGGTTCTGGAGGTACCGGAAGAGGGGCTGCAAGTGTGCTAGGCTCATTAACCATATGTTGCTGAGAGTGGGGTTTGTAAACCCCATCACATGACTCCAAACTCCTCCTACATGAGGTGGGAATTTCAAAGAAATTCCAGAAATTGAATCTTGGGGAGTTTCTTAGCCTCCTCAAACTTCTTGGGAATCAGATCCTCAGCTGGTATAAATCTGCCTGGCTCTGTTGAAGTCAATATGATATACTAATTTATACCAGCTGAAGATCTGGCCCATTGTGGCTATTTCTTCAGGACCATACAACTGGATCATTAATTTTAATATTTTGTTTGTAGTTTTCTGTGAAAACTTACTGGCTAGCAACCGTCCAACTGTTGAATGAGAATGGCCATCGGTGTTGGCACCTGCAGCCTTTATCAGTTTTCTTGGCAAAATCCATTAAACAGAAATGGTGAATTCAAATTATCTTAATTTCTTCAAATTGGAGGCTTCATACCCACCATGACAGCCTCATGGTAGAAAGTAACTTTTTTGTAAATTGTTAAGACAGATGAACTTTTGGTGACCTATGACAGAAATGTCAACTTTCAAATTTGCTTCCCCCCGCCCAACAATATCCCATTATGCATTGGTTCCCAACCTTTCCAGGCTACTTCCAGGAGTCTGATTTGTCTTGTGTACCCCAAGTTTCACCTCACTTAAAAACTACTTGTTTACAAAATCAGATATAAAAATACAAGAGTGTCACAACACACTAGTACTGACAAATTTCTTACTTTCTCATTTTACCATATAATTATAAAATAAATTGATTAGAATATAAATATTGTACGTATATTTCAGTGTACCTGAATCCCGAGTCCCGCTGCCCGGGGCCGAAACATATAACTTAGCTTCATGGGGCCCCCTGTGGCGTGGGGCTCCAGGCAATTGCCCTGCTTGCCATCCCCTAATGCCAGCTCTGCAATTGTGACCCCCTTGAACCTCTCCCGCAAACCCCTTGGGGGTTGCAACCCCCAAGTAAAGAAACACTGAAATAGGCGAATATCTAGATGAGTTGACATACCCCCTGGAAGACCCCCAGGGGTACGCGTACCCTTGGTTGAGAACCACTGCCATAATGAATGACTGTAACAAACATGAAGGCTGTAGCTAGACAGGCACTTGAAATCTAATAAGAAAGACTGATGACCTTTTGGTGCCCCTGATGGAAAACTCACAGGTCAAATCTGTGATCTCCCTCTGATTGACTTAGTGGCCTGTAATGAACAAATGTACCAAATTTCAAGATTCAAATTGCTTTAGAACATTAGCTCTCAATCATCCTGCCAGTGTAAGGGTCTGTGTGTTCTCCGATTTTTATTTATTCTGCATATTCCTTTTAATAAGGAAAAAAAATAAGATTTGCTTGTTTTTTGTATTTTTAAAGTGAATTAATGTTGATGAAAGGAGGCAGATTGAAAATCTTGGACACTGAAGTATTCAGAATTGCGAAAACATTTCAAGCAGCAGTATTCCAAGCTTACCTAAACATGCATCACCAATGTATTTAACCTGAATGGGTAGGGACCAGCTTTGGCTAACAGAGGGAGCACAGTCTCCATCCCCCAGAATGGTAATAAGGCTGCCAATTGCTGTGGTGATGATTTTGACACCTATTCACTAGGCGCTATCCTGAGATCACAATCTCATTTCACACAGGCAATTGAATAGCCAATCAGATATCACCTAATCACTTTAGGTCATTACTGATGAGTTGAACTGAAACTAGTAACACAGAGTTGAAAGTTCTGATATGACACTGCTAAGCTCCAGTTACCCAAAATAAAACTAGTTTACATTAAACTTCTGCCTTTCCTCCTTTCTCTTTCATTTTTGAAGTTAAATTGGCAAATGCTGCATATAGCTACTGTCTGTAGCCACTCAGAGCACCGGTAAAGAAGAGATTTGTATCTTTATGGAAAAGGTTAGGGAATTTTTTTTTTTTAAATTCTAGTAAGGTAAGTGAGTGGGATTCTCCTTTTTCAGTGGGTAAATGTTATTGATTTCACCTGGATTCTTTCTGACCGATATGTTAGATCAGCAAAAGCTGCTTACTTACCATAGAAAGTGAAATAGCCAAAAACGGCAGTCATTAAGTACATAACGAACATGGCAAAAAATGAGATATTTGAAACCATTTGCATTCTCTTCTGTGTGCGACTGGAAAAAGAAGAAAACATAATAAATGGCTGCATTTTGTTTGAATAACTGTTGTAGAAATGTATTAACCTTTGCACAAACAAAACTAACTAGCATCGGAGAGACTCCAGAGTGTGTCTTTTCTTCATTTAAATCAGTGATCCCCAATAGCTGTACTGAAGGAGGAGAATGATTGGGGGACTAAGTCTCCCAAAAGCCACTGGTAGCCTCCCAGTTTTGCTAGGGTTTTAAGTCAAGAGAACATAATGACCATTCTGTGAATATTGCCATCCCCAAACCCCAATGGGTGGCTATGGCCCCTTGCAGTAGCCTCTGTAGCAGAGAAAGGGTCAGCTTGGAACTGCTTCTGTGTGCAAATTAAAGGACTAGTAAAATAACAGAATATTAACATCCTAAATGTTTGCAAAAAATGGTCTGTGTCCTCTGGTAAGGAGAACTGCTGTAGTTTAAAACAAATTGGGTAAACATAAACATTTCATTTTTGACACTTATTTTGAAATGCTTAAACCTGGGTGCCTAGCATTGGGCTCTTAATCCATATTTTGATACCAAAATAGAAACACCCAGATTTCTAGAAGAGCTGAGCACCCAAAAATCCCACTGAAGTCAATGGAAGCTGAAAGTGCCCAACAGCTCCCAGTTAGACACCTTATTAAGTGGTCAGAATTTCAACAAACAGCAGATCCTTTGACAAGGATGGGAACTGCAGCAGGCTGAGCACTGCTGAAATTCCAGTAACTTCTTTTTAGGTACTTAAATAGGCGCTGAACTCTTTTGGCCTTGAAGCACTAATGCAAAGACATTAATATGGAGTAAAGAGAGAAAATGGCACAGTCGTTTAGGAGCAGATTTTGCTTCATGGCAAAAAATGTTTTCATCTAAGGTATAAAAATATAGCCCTGATTCTCCACTGGATCTGAGCTGTGCTGGAGGGAGCAGCTGCAAGGAGCCAGTTGCAGCTCCCTGATCATTGGCCGCTCAGCCTTGATGGATGTTAGAGAAGCAGGGGGCCTACTGTAACTTGCACCAGTGCAAATCAGGTCACCACACCTACTGCCTGCTCATGCCCCTTTGCTCCCCTTATGCGAGGGACGGAGGTACAGTTGCTGGTGTGGGAGACTCATCTTCTTCATCTTTCTTACACAAAGAAAAGTTATTGGTGTCAGTCACATTGTTTAACTATACTTGATGTGGTTTAAAAACACATTGGGGTGAAAGCCTGTACATAAAAAGCATAACTTCTTACTGTCACAGGCTTTTTGCTACATTGGAATCAATGGCATTAGCTGAAGTACAAGACTCTATCTTGCAAACTATAATAATTTGCACTGGTTGGCTCTCCAAAATCGCTGTGTCATTCTAAAGAAAACCCCTGGGATGTCATGTTACCCCATAGGAAATCCAGATTTACCTAGCTTCAAGCAGTGCTCCTTTGTTTTCTGATTTTATTAAACTACTTTTCCTTTGAATTACGAGGGTGATGTGGAGCAACTCTGCACTAACATTTTACACTCTAAACAGTTCATTTTAAACAAACAAACAAACAATAAAGAACATCTTACTCTTTAAGTTCGCTGTAAATTGGAAGGACCGATGGGTGGCACACAAATGCAAATGCAAGGGTAGGCAAAGCATAAACAGTCTGTTTGAACATAATTGAAGAAAAGACAGTTAGGAAAAATACATAGTAAGAAATCATCAGTGTTTCAACTACCTCATCTCCCAACTTTCTGAACTCTTCAACTGAACATTGAGAGTCCCTGCAGGGAAGGCAGAGTGCTGTCAAAAACATCAGGAACAATAACTTTTCAATGTGAGGACACAATCTATGTATTTTTCTTGCAAATATTTCGGAGACAGTTCAGAGACAGCAGTCGTGTAGCAGCTGCTACCACCAGGTTTATTCCCTTGAATAAGACACTTTCATATCCTCTTCATATTCTGTCTGGGGATGAGTCCTGCTTTGAGCAGGGGGTTGGACTAGATGACCTCCTGAGGTCCCTTCCAACCCTGATATTCTATGATTCTACTATTGCTGCCAAACACAGTCTTGTGTGCGCGGGGCAAATGTTTGATCTTTACATGCCATGAGGAGGAATATTATTTCAGTGCCATAGAATGGATGCTCAGAGGAGTCTGACAGTGATAGATCAGAGCTTGACTATGATATTTAGCCCATAGGAAGGAGCTGTGCAGAGGGTCACTGTCCCAGAAGGAGTACTGGGACACATTCTATTTCAAGGAGGCAAATGCCTGCTGGAGTTCCCAGGCATTACAACCTCTGTGTATTGATTGATAGTGCAGTTCATTCCCTCTTTGAAGCTGGCCAGATCTGCCCTGGTGCAAAGAGACGCAGAGCCTCAACTCCTTAAAGTCCAGTGGAACCTGCCCCTTACACAAGCTGAGGGAGAAGATTCATTATGCCCTTCCCATCACAGCGCATCTGTGAAAGGGCCACGGAGACTCTGGACCTAAATGATGTGTCTCATTGACTAGGAATATGGAGTGTGATATCAAATTATCTGAATTAAAAATAAATATCATAGAAAGAAACATACCTTGGAATTAAAGGTAACATACTTTGGTTGACACATCTCTTCATGTGTTGAGCTAACATTTGATATGATAGGTGATGTTGCACTTGGCTCCAGTACTGGGCAGGAAAGTTGAACTTTCTTGTAGATAACCTGCAATAAAGTGCCACATGGTAAACTGTAAAAACTTATTAAAATAAAAAATACCAAAGACACTATAGGGGCAACTCTAATCCAACCAAACAGCAAGCAGAACTTACCACTATGAGGAAAAAAACCATGCAACCAAGGGAAAATCCACTAGTATATCCAAGATACCCTAAAAGAAATACAAAAGAAATCTAATCAATAACTCATGTAATGGTCACATTTGTTTGTGTTTTTGTTCTTTTTATAGCTTCTTACTTTATAACATAGTTAAAGTTATTACACATTATACACATAATATGAACCATGAACTTCAGGATAATATAAAAGTGTCTCATTTTTCTGGAAATCTGTCATTTCACAAGGTTGCTACATTTCAAACATATTAAAATTCTGTTCTGATATGTTTGACTCTTATTTAATATTCCTCTCCTGCCTCCTTGCAGATCATCTATATGGCAGTTTGACTGCACTCTTGAGAATGACTTTCACAATGGACGTAAACTTGATAATAGGAGAATACTCTCATAATATGCCGCAAATCACGCAGTGCTTAAATGTTAAAAGTTACTATGGGATTAGATTTTCCAAGGGATTTCGATTTTTATTTCAAGGGCAGTTAGGTGCCTAACCTCCTTAGGTGCTTTTGGAAATTCCAATATGTGCCTATCAGCAACTTTAGGCACCTAAATACCTTTGAAAATCTGGCCATATCGGGTGGGAGGCGCCTTGTGGAATATAAGTAATATCCATATACACATTACCTAGACAGAACTAGTCAAAAATTTTCAATGAGAATTGTTATTGAAATTTTGAATTTTTATGGAAAAACATTTTTTGATAATTCTGTTGCAATTAAAAAAATTACTACCTCTATGTAATATTAATTTACCTAACGGAATAAACACCCAGGTGGTCATAAAATCTGTAATCAGTTGCCACAAGCAAATGGAAGAGCTAACGAACACATTATTTTGAATCAATTTAGTTATACTGTCTCATTTGTCATGTTACTAGCTTTTAGTTTAGCCTGGCTTGTTCCAGGATGCCTAATACATAGCTTATTCCTGTGCTAAGGCCACTTTATTCATGACTGAGCACTGTCCTCTCCATTACATCTGAGTGGCCAATATGACCTAGAGGGGAGCAAAATTTGGGTACCCCCACTTTATTCTAATGATATTTGCACTCTTACCTAAGTTCTTAAGAAGACACAGGGGGAGGATTATAGTAAATGTCACGGCTACAACAAGAATTCGCCCATCCACATACCATGCCCTGTAAAACATTTCAAAGATACAGTGAAATCTCTTCTTAAAGCACTATCACTGTTTTTTAACATTGGATCAGCCATCCAGAATTACAGCATTTTCTTTGGCTTCCATATATTATAAGCTCAAGTACAGGCAAAGACTGGGACAATTTCTGAACTTCCTAGGGCACCGGTTACATGTGATAGTAAATGGAATATTTTATCAGTAATTGCTTAAAAAGTGGCACTCTTTGGAATCTGAGCCACAACACATTTTCATAGTCCGAGGGCAAAATGTTGCCCTTACTGGTAGGAGTGGTGGCATGGGTGAAGGGATGGAGCAATACCAGTTGGCATTAGATAGAAGCTATCCTGCCAGCACAGGAAAAGACAGATCAAGCGGTCAGATATAGTGCAGTGCAGCATATGCTGCAGACAGCAGTATACCCACTTAGCCTGCTGAGGGCCTGGCCACATGCCCTAAATGACAGACCATGCTACTGAGGGCTGGGATGCACTGTCCACCCCAGTCACTTGACCCCTTCCCATAGGCTGTGGTTAGAATCCTCTCCTCGTGGTCTGCAGGGAAAGGGGAGAAATGCAGGATTGTTCTCTACAACATATTTTAAAGTTCTCTGTCCATACTCTGAGATGTATGAAACATCTCTAGGATGGTGTTTCCACCTTTTAGCTAAGTTGCAAGACATCATATAACCTGATGTAACAAACAAGACATGTACCAATGTAAAGAAATACCCCTCTTTTTGTTTTGTTTAAGGCAATGATAGATGCCATCAAGCAGTAACAAGTGGCAGAAATCTATCCTAGGTATTCTACTCCTGTCATGTTTTAGTATTGGGGCACTTCGCACTATGGCAGGGGTGGCCAAACTGTGGCTTGTGAGCCACATGTGGCTCTTTTACAGTTAAAGTGCAGCCCGCTGAGACCCCCACAGCTCCCCCTTTCTCCACCAACCAGATGGAGGTGTGGGGGGGAGAGCTCGGGACTTCTGCCTTGCTGTGGGGTGGTGGGGTAGGGGCTTCTCCCCAATGGGGAAGGGCGTTTCAGGGCTTCAGCCTCGTGGGGTGCACCTGCCAGGGCTTGGGGCTTCAGCAGGAGCAGGGCTGATGCCCCAAGCACCATCAGGTGCCTCCCATGGGGCTGAAGCCCCAAGCCCCAGCAAGTGCGCCCCGGCCCTCGAACTTCTGAAGATTGTCATAGGTGGCTCGGAGGGTCAGTAAGTTTGGCCTCCTCTGCACTCTGGGGAGTTCTTTACAGATTGAATCCTACAAGGTGCTCCGAATTCCTGGAGGTGCTGAGTGCCTTCAATGCCCATTGGTTTCAATAGGTGTTGAAGGTGTTTAATAGCCCCAGGTATTGCTCAGCATATTGGGATCAGACCATAAGATAAGAATGCTGTAGAAATCATTCTTCTGAAAGAAAATCTAGACAGTAATCACTAAAGGTTCATTTATTTTTCTTTTCTCTCCCCTTCCTCCCCCGCACGCTTTACAATCCCATTAGGGACCCTGCTGTGAAGATCTGACACTAGCATGAGGAACAGCCAATAATTAGTGCTTTTATAAACCCATGCTCTAGCTTATCTACATGAAGTTTAGACTCTGAAGTCAAGTAAGCAAAATAGTATTAAACTTACGAAAATGCTTCTTCTTTTCCCATAAGAAACTTTATGGCAGAAGGCAGCTCATTTTTTACTATGAAGAGATAGCTCAGCATTGCTGGGGAAAAATGAGACCATTTTAGAAAGTGGACATGATACCTTGTGGAATGAGCACATAGAAGGATACTGGACCTGTTCTCCTGCCAACCCTAAGTAAATACAAGCTGATCTAAGGCAAAGAAGTTTAACTGATTCTAAATTACTGATCCAAGTTGGGTTTTCCCTGATATGTCATTTCAACAGACTACACAGAGAATACTAGTTTGAACTGCACAACAGAACACGGGGCCCCCCAAAACATCACTGGGAGAATGAGAAATCTGAGTGGCCGACAGGCATAAATGTATGTGCATTCCTTTGTTTGCTCTTGTCTTTTATACTCCCTTTACCTCCAGTATTCTGGAGAGAAGTGGATCCAAAAACAATCATTTTTCCTGGAGTGCCAAAGACCTGCTCGCCAAGCTTTTCATACACCATGCAGCCTGCGTAAACCAATTGGAGGAGAAATCAGAAATCAGGGTTGACAAGCAACTGTCAAGTCAAAACATTTAAGATTCCTCTTCATTCAGCTAATTTCCCCATCCATGCTGCTATTTCTTCCCTTTTCACACAAATATGGGTCTCTATTGTAATTCACAGGAGTCGAGCAAGCTTATTTGGAAATATCTTCCTCATGTTTTTAAATGTCAGGAGTGGCTACCAATCACTTTTTGAAAGTTGGAACTCACAATGAGATTATTATATCTCTTAATATAAGTGTCCACCTACAGTCCTCATGATATTTACAAACCTGGCATCCTGACATCTTAAGTTTGCTCCCTCAGTAGGAATAATATAAGATTTAATGGAAGATAATATTCAACACAGCAGGGTTCTGCAAGCCAAGGCTCTGGCAGACAAGCTAGAGAGACACAACACAGCAATGCTGTAATTTTATAGTTTAACTGACATAGATTAATGCAAAGAAGCCAGACTGTTCATTTAAATTATTATTTTTATTTCCTTATAATATATTAATTTTATGAGTTCTCATTCTCCTAGAGTTCCTGTGAAAGAAGGAAAGTATGAGAACTATAATTAAATATTCTTTGTTTAAAGTCTGTCAAATTCAACTAGTAGCTAGACCCTCTATTAATTACAAGATGTTCCAGTTGAATTTAGCAATTTTTTTTCCCAGTTGTGGTTTGGGCTGACAGAAAAGCTACAGCATTAAGAACACAAGAGGGTATGCAATGAGAATGGAAGATAAATATTTCAGGTGTTACACTGCACAGATTATCCAAAAGAGGTGTCTCACAGTTTGGGTTCCTCACATTTTCTCCTGGTTGACATTTTCTCTTTAAAACTCACATGAACAAGAAGCAAAATTCAGTTTGAGTTTTAATGCAATGTCATCCTTAGCAGCCTGAAGCCCAGGACCCAAATTTTTAGCGTTTCAAGGACACAAATGTGTGTGCATCTGCATGCCTAATTTGAATATGCAATTGCTGCCATTGTATACACAGTCGTGATAATTGTGTACACAAATTAGGTGTTCAAATGTGGAAGCATTCTCATGCATGGGTAATTTTGAAAGTTTGGACTAAAGGTTATAACCTCAGGACATTATTCTTAGCCTATGGAGCCTATTCTTAGCCTAAAGAGTTTAACATTACAATGGCATTTATATATGTATTTAGACTTATATATTGTGAGATCCTCAGGGCAGAGTGTGGCTTCTTCCCTATATGGAAAGTACCTATTATTATACCATGGGTACTATTGGGAACAACATCAACTCTATTTTAGTGATGTCATCTTATCCCAGATAAGCTTCACGATACAGAGTTTCATTATAACTGGAATTGCAATCTTCAGATTGTAATGTAATAAAACAGTTTGAATCATTCCTTCTACTTCACTAAATGGAGTTTCACTGTATCAGAATTCACTGTGAATTGGTTTTACTATATCTTTTCTTTATAGCAATGGGCCAGATTCTGGTCTCAGTTATACCAGTATAAATCTAGAGTAACTCTGATGGTTTCTGGCCCAGTTTCTCTTTTCTTTTTCAAACTGATGAGAAAAAAAACCCAGGCATCTTGCTTTATTCTGAACATTTTTATCACCTCTTGTCCTTTTCCCTCCTACTAAATTGATACATTATGGTCTCAAATTACCTGTTTCCTTTGAACATATCAACAGGAGATTTATTGAATAAATAGACAGCAATGTCACTGAAGACAATAGAAACCTACAAGAGAGTGAAAAATAAAATGTATTATAATAAAAGAATTCCTTGGTGTTGCAATTTTGTACATACTGGGACAGATTCTCATTTACACTAAGCCACCTTCATAGTTTTCTGGCAGTGCAAAGGGGCCCTAAAGTAAGTATAAATATAACTGACACATGCTTTATGGCTTCTTTACATTGCTATAGTGTAAAAAGGGGGCCTAGTATAAATGAGGCTCTGGCCCATTAAGTCTTATATTGAAGGCCTGCTGTGATCAACTTATGGTGCTCAAAGTTTATAGCCTATTAATTAGTAACCCCTCCCACTTTTAATCTAAACCAAAATAAAAATCTCCTGCCATCTAAGCAAGAAGATCTAGTCAGAGCAGCTGTGAGCCCTATGCTCCCAACTACTTAGTCTAATGATCTTTCTAAAATCTGAGGCACAGAATTTTATCTAAGCGTTTATATAAGGACACATCCTAATGTCCACATGAGGGTCACAGCCTAATGTTCTTTCCCAAGCCGTGTTCCAGAGGATATTAATGGTATCTCCTGATATTGTTGTGCCTGACTCTGACAGTGCCACTGGGAAAGTGGGGGCAGCACTGCCCCAAGTAGCCCTGCTAGCCTATTGTACAGGATGCAGTGTGATCTCCCCCAATCTGTGCACCATTCCAGCTGCTCTGGAGCCGAAGGAGATGTGGTTCTTTGCCTTGACACTAGCATCCCTGTTGGCACTAGCTCACGCTGTATGATCCCCAGAGTGGTGGTCTCTGAGCTACAGATTTTGAGCAGGGGAGAAGCAGAGACACACCTCCTCTGAGGTACTGCATGGCACTGGCAACTCCAGTCCCTGTCCTGCACTGAGAGAAGCAGAGGCAGAAGGGTTTGCTGCATCCTGCATTACGGTTGGTGCTTCCTGCAATGGGGCATCCATCATTTGACCCCTCCACTGTAATCACCGGTTTGCAGAAAAATTCGGGAATTAAAATGGGAATGAATGCTTAGTCAATATTTGCCAGGGGCTGAGCAGCACGCCTGTAACAAGGCAGTACCATGGGCCAAGTGCACAACACTCCCTTTGCTCAATGATCCATCTCCTGTAGACCAGGGCACAATTCAAACACTGTGTGTTCCTTTTCTCTGTGTACAGTTACATGGGCTGATTGACAACACATTTTCATGATATGTGTAAGGAGTATTAAAACAATCTGTTGGCACTTCTATCATTTTTATCATGACAATATGTCTTAGGACACCATGTAAACAAATCTAAAATTAAACAGAAAACAAGCTGCTACAATAGATGGGCAGTTTAAAATGACAAAAACAAGTCTTTTCACTGAAAGGAACATGCAGGAATGACAGTTCGAGAACAATGTTTTCTTTCTTAGACTAGATGTATTTGGGGCCAAATTATGGCTGCTCTTGCCATGATTGCATGGCCTGAGGTGTGGGGTAGAGTGGAAAAGGGCACAAGAAGCCCCATTCTTCTCAGTGTAACTGTACAGAACATGCCACAATGATGCAGACAGCATTACTTGATCTTAAGGGGGCATCAAACAGCTGACAATGGCACTGCACTTCCCAAAGGAACTTGCCCACCCTGGCTGCACTGTACATTGTAATGCCTGGAGGGCAGTGCTGCGAGAGCCCCCACTGAACCTTTTCATAAGGTGGAGTAAGTGCTGCTGCTGAGCATGCATGTTTTTGCACTGTGTGGGCATAATGTCTCCAGCCATTATTGCTTGGCTGTTGAAGCAAGCCGTAACTGAGCCCTTAACACTGAACTCCTAATTTGCTGACACCAAGCAAAGGGCGTCTTCACGGAGGTAAAAATAACAGCTGCAAGCCAGCCAGGTGATGATCTGATCTGTTTCCTTACCTCCCCTCAGGAGTCTCACAAGTTGCTATGAGAAACTTGTCCTTTTTCATTAAAGCCATATGAAAAGCCTGTTTGTGTGAGGGCTGTGGTTTAGGCAGACTAGTGCCTGTACCATCCCATAGACTGGAATGAAAATGTTAGTGCCCCTAGCGCTTTGCAAACTCAAAACATAAGCAGTGAAGCTTTGGCAACTCTGTAGTATCAAAATTGTTCTCATGCTTCACATTTTGTACAGTTTAAAAAAGTGCTGGCGACCACATAATAAATCTGGGCAAAATTCTCATCCCCAGTCCAAGCCAAGTGTATAGCTATATGCAGAGGACCGACACAGGGCTAGGGGGAACAGAATCCTACCTCCCACACTGGGAAGCTATGCGTCTGTCCACAGCTGCTTCCTTCACTCATCAGCTGTAGCAACTACTGTGACCCACTGCACTGCAGAGGCCTGGGCTTTGTGACCAGTGGATCTGTGAAGTTGGTGGATTAACAGGCCACACATCTGCCACTCCCAGCTCCGCCACACAAACCCCCTTACATTCCCCTGGGGATCAGGACACAGCAGAGCTCGGCTCAACCAGTGCTGAAGTCTGCAGAATCCTCCTCCTAAGGTCCCTCTGTGACCTGGCTCATGTGCAGCCTTCCAAACATTCTGCAGCTGTGAGAATTTCTCCCCTATTGCTGATATGAAAGAGTGTTTCTATGGCACAGCTCATAGTTATTAGCCATATTAGACTGTAAGCACCTATGGGCTCTCATCTTATTTTACACCTGCAAAGCATCATACTTACCTATTGCGTTAAGTTACACAAATAATACATAACAATAGTGTTTTTGTTGCTTTGTTAATTTTGAATTCAGTATGCAAAGACTATATGATCCTGATTCAGATCTCAGTTGTGCGGGGGTTAAATTTGATTCCACTGGAGTCAGTAGAGTCATGCTGGCAAAAAAGCAGGCCCTCGTTTGCTTAATTAGCTTTTTAACATACAGGTTTCCTTTTCCATCTTTGCTTTTTACTTTTAGATCGCAGTGCATGGTTCTCTTCGGTAACCAAAGTCTACCCAGATCAAAGAAGGCTTAGAACATTTCAGATCTGTGTAATTTACAAGTAATGAATACAGCAAGGCCCTCTGTTCAAAATGCAAAAATAATAATACTTGGTCTCTGTCTTTAATCATTTGTAAAGCAACATGTGATCAAGATAGCACTATATATTTGTTGGAAAGATTAATCTGATCAAGTTGTGAGGGGAAAACAAAGTATTCTTGATCAATTGGATTCAACTCTCTGCATTGCAGGACATAGGAACATTTTAAACAGGGCTCTTTATTTGCCACAGAGCTCCAGAGGTCCCATTAGGATTTAGTATCTCAAAGACTGGTTTGATGGCTCATTCCCTGCTGACTTGCCTCTCACTCTCTAACTTGTCACTAACTACTACATCTTTGGTCTTAATAGCTTTGTCTATGACATTGCTAACATGACTGAAAACCATTACGAAGCTAACAAAAGCATGGCTATTAAAATAAATATCTGTTATTAAATCTGCATAGTTAATTAAGTAGAGAATAATTCTGTTCTTTATAGGACAAAAAATTTACCCAGCATTCACCTTAGCTAAATACTTTGTACAACATGGGTAACTCCACAGATCTACCCAGTATTTGATTCACGACAAGTCCAACTACTATCAAAGATCATTTTAAGCATATCTAGGGTTCAGTATCATATATGTGATCTACTCTGCTTTTATCTCGTTAATGTAAGCATTCAGGAGATACACACCTCTCAACTGCCCCTGGAAACAGAATGCTTTACAGAATGTGGTGTTAGCTTCTTGTTAGTGCTAATGAGTTCAATAGCAGTATGGGTGTTGAAGAGAGGAGCAGACAAGGCTGTGAGAGTTTACAAAGAACTAAAGTTTGAGTGGAATCAGAATGTAATTAGACTAATGCTTTGGACTGTTACTGTGACACAGACAGTTCCCATCTACACTGTAACTTTTGAAGTGTAACTGGACCAGGGGCTGATTCCTGATTTGGTTACAGTTGTAGGGTAGACAGGACCCTGAACTCTCCAAAGCAAGTCAATTCCCAGAGTGAAAGTCAGAATGATTTTCTCTTTTCAATGGGTTTCAGATTACAGGGCAATCTTATACTGCACACACATAAGACAGATATTTGCAAATTGAATATAAAAATTGGAAGCACTTCTATAATTTTAATTAGAAATCACTGATGTAGCAATAGCTCTGTCCACTTCCATTTTTAGTTTGACATATAAGCTAGTGAGTTTATTTTTAATTAAATGTTTGTCAGTGCTGCAGTAGCAAAGCAGTTCAAAACATCCTGAACTGATTTGTATCTTTTCATATTTTATGTTTCAGATCTGTCTCTTGGTACCATGTGCTAGATCTCAGAAAGGAAAATCGAGGATATAAATCTCATGTGCCTCCTACCCATCATTTTTCCCCCCAGCTGTGCACAAAAAAGTATTAGGGCTTGTACACACTAGCAGTTACTTCAGCATAACTTAAGTCACTCAGGGGTGTGGAAAAGCCATCCCCCTGGAGTGATGTAAGTTACACTGACCTAAGAGCCAGTGTGGACAGCGCTATATCAACGGAAGAAGCTCTCCCACCAACATAGCTACGGCCACTCGGAGAGCGGGAGTAATTATGCGAATGGGAGAGCTCTCTCCCGTCAGCATAGACTGTATAAAAATTAAACATCCAAGCCTTAGGACTGCATTTGAACAACTGGAACACTTTAGCTTTGTCTGCCCAAGTGTTCCTTACCCTGGTTTTAGGGCAAATACTGAAGCAGCCAGGTGTCTGGGGCCAGATTGTGATCTGCCTTGCCACTGGGGGTTATGCCTTGTGTGATCCACCTGAAGAATAGGCACAATAATGGTCTCTAAGAGCAGGGACTACTTCCTCCCTCCACACTGCAGTAAATAAATCACCTTAAAGGAGGTAGGGACCAGGAGAAACCATGGTCATGCTTCTCGTCACACCAGCCAGTGGAACCTTATAGATAGGGCCCTACCAAATTCATGGCCATGAAAAATGCGTCACGGACCGTGAAATCTGGTCTCCTCCCATGAAATCTGTTTTTTTCTGTGCTTTTACCCTATATTATACAGATTTCATGGAGGAGACCTGCGTTTCTCAAATTGGAGGTCCTGACCCAAAAAGGGAGCTGCGGGGAGGTGGGGGGTTGCAAGGTTATTTTAAGGAGGGGGGCCCTTTCCTCTGCGCTGACTTCAGAGCTAGGTGGCCGGAGAGCAGCGGCTGTTGCCTGAACATCCAGCTCTGCAGGCAGCAGTGCAGAAGTAAGGGTGGCAATACCATACCATGCCATCCCTACTTCTGTGCTGCTGCTGGTAGCAGCGCTGCCTTCTGAGGTGGGCTCCTGGCCAGCAGCCACTGCTCTCCGGCTGCCCAGGTCTGAAGTCAGTGCTGCGGTCAGCAGCAGCGCAGAAGTAAGGGTAGCAGTACTGCAAACCCCGTACAATAACCTTGCAACACCCTCCGCCCACAACTCCTTTTTGGGTCAGGACCCCTACAATAACAACACTGTGAAATTTCAGATTTAAATAGCTGAAAACATGAAATTTACTATTTTAAAAATCCTATGACCGTGAAATTGACCAAAATGGACCGTGAATTTGGTAGGGCCCTACTTATAGACAATGCCATGTGTAAATCCCTATACACGCCAGGCAGTTTTGGGAGAGATACAATTTGTCTTAGTGCTTCCCCTTGGGTGGAGCGGCTCTACACTGCCTCCAACAAGTTGTGCAAACTGCATAGTCTAACCTATTCTTTGTAAGTTACCATTATTATATTACACAGAGTGCTTATGCTGAAGGATTTTAATTTGCTTTGCTTTTCAGAAGTAGTTTCACACTATGTAATCACTAAAATAATAAGTGTTTGGATTTGTGATTTGCTCCCAGTGAAGGCACTGGCAAAACGCTCATTGATTCTTGGAGAACAGAACAGGTTCTTAATCACTGACATTTAGCTGCTTACATATTAAAAATACCTAAATGTAGCCTGCTATTTGTCTCTTAATAGAAAACTACCCTTCTGGGCATCTTACCCAGGGAATGGGTAGAGAAAATGAGTGAGATTCTGGACCTGGACATAGAACACCCAAAGATTCACCCAAAGGTGTGTGATTCTTTAAATTTTGTTTTTTAGGGCTCTGGGAGAAGTAGGATAACAAATTAGTGATTAAAATATAAATTGGGTAATCTATTCTCTTGTTTATAAACTAACATTTCTCGTACCATTTCTTGTCCAAAAATGCTCTTTCTAATACTTATGCAGCTTGGAGACTCCAAGTGAAATCCTGGCCTCATTGAAGCCAATGGCTAAACTTGTATTGAATTCAACAGGTCCAAAATTACACCTCATGTCTTTTTTACTAATCACTGTGATACATTCATATCTGAAACCCATGACCAAAATGATCAAACTTGGATATTTAAGTCCATGTTTAGTTACCTAAATCAGTGGTCTGGGCATTAGCTGCTGCTACTGAAGCCAGCACCTCTGAAATCCAAGCTACTTATGTATGCAGCCTACTTCGTTTAGTAAAACTGCCCACTGCATTTTGAATGGTCTATAAACAACCACATTCTCTCTAAATGCAAACATTTTAAAATCAAAATGAAAGCGTGCCCCATCCTGCTATTCACTGCGTGGATACTTACACAAAAAGGATGATTCCTGTGTTGGCTAATGCAAAGGCAAGACCTAAAATTCCACTACCCATAATGGCGTTGCTGAGATTAAAGACAGATATTTGCAATGAGGTTGTTCCTGGAATCTGGACATAGGAAAAATGGACATATAAATAGTTTAGAGTTCATTATACAATGCACATATACTGTGAATTCCAAGTTTCACGTTATAGGAAATAAAAGTAATTACTGCTACAGCAATGATACAGCAGAAAAATACAAAGCAAGATTTGAAAGAGAATAAATCCTAGTGAACCTTTTCATATGGACATTCCAATTACTGCCTAATGGAAGGGATAAATGCACTTATAGAATAGAAATAGTGTGGGCAATATATATTGCAGTATTTTTAAAAACGCCTTCCATTAATCATAGGAGCTGATTTTTAGAGGTGCTGAGAACATGCAGCTCCCCCGGCTCAGCTGGATTTGTAGGTGCTCAGCACCTCTGAAGAGCAGATCTAAGGGTTGTATAGTTCACAATCAACAGTATATCGAGAGAGACTTACATATTCTTCACATTTCTTTTTTTCCAAGTGACTGTTTGTGAGACTTCTTCGGCTCTCCCGATCCGAAATAAACTTGCTGAAAAGAAGTCAGAGAATACATATTCTATCATGA